GCATGTGTGATAAACATGTCCATATGCAGTGAAAAGCTAACAGGAGACAGAATTAGGGTAGCTTATTAGCCACAACAAGCACCTTGATGGAGTAAGTCACTGGGCCTCTGGGCTTGGGATCACAGTTGTGGGGGATATTAAGCTCAACTGGCATAAAATAGTATGCAAGAACATTGTACAACAACCTACTTTGGTGAGTAGCAGCTGGGGTCCTTAAAAGCTTGTGAGTGGCTATCTAAAATGCAGTTAGTGGTCTCTCTTCATTCAGAGCAAAGAAGAGTGAAGAAAATCAAAGATGCATAGAAACAATTAGTCCAAAGGACTACTGGACCATGAGAATCTCAGTGTATATGACCCTGAGACCAGAAGACCTAGATGTTGTCTGGCTACCCAAGCCAAACACTAAGAAATGGATCAAAATGGAGATCCTGGATAGAGGGGAAGAAAAAATGTGGGAAAAAATTTAGAAAACATAAAAGATCAGAAATATTGATCAGACAGACCCTGTTGAAACCTCCAAGACTATGTATGGTCCCTAGTCACCATTTGAGCCTAGAACTGAACTCATTCTCATAAGCTTTTCACTCCCATAACTCTCAGCCAAACAACAGGCAGACCTATAAACTCAACAACTACACCAAGGAGATGCACTCCTTATAACAATCAACCACAGGAGACCTGAAGGGTAGCATTTGCACAAGTAAAAAAGTAGGGAGACAGGATGCATAGGCAAGAAGGACACAGGAAAAGGATAACCACAGGGAGAAGTAGGAGGAGAGCTGCTACATTGCAAGGATCGCAATCAATATCTAAAAACAAAATGTGTATGAACTATTGAATATAAAATGAATCTGCTTTGTAAAATGTCACCCAAATCACAATAACATTATTTTAAAAATTATAATTGTTATGTGGGTTACTGTGTTTTTGTTAAATATTGTAAAGCCACCAGAGCAGTCTAAACTTTAGGCATCCTTCTAGGCTCAAAAAATATGATTTCCTTGAAAAACATCATGTGGCTATATGCCATAAGTGTGGGTAACTTTATAAAGTGAACAGTCTTTCTGAGGCCAACTTAATGACTCCTCATTGTCTCCCTGAGTTGGGGTGTGCTCTGATTATCTGTTCTCATTGAATTATGCCACTTTATAAGTCTTACTCTTTTTCCTTGATGACTGTGTTATTCTCTTTCCTTGATGAATGTGTTTAGAGGTGATCACAAAAGCCCTTGTTGAAAGAATCAAGAAGGTTGAAGTCAACAGAAAGATGCTCACATTTGTCTAATGAACCTCTCACACACATACATGACCAGCCACACACACACAAACACACAAACATACATTCGAACATGCATGCTAGCTCAAACAAATATTTTCTTGTTCCCTGGTTTTATATACTATGACAGCAAGAGATACTCTGGGCACCATTTCTTGGTGGGTCCCAGAAAACACCCAAGTAGGAAGATGATGGTGCAGCAGCTATACTACTAGGCTGTGATGGTTAATGTTATGGGTCAACTTGGCTAGGCCATCATCCCCAATGTGGTGTGGTTGTCCTCTATTTTATGAACTGATGTAATTACCATCCTTTTTGTGATGCTATACAATTATTCTCCATTTTGTGTGTTGTAAATCCTAAATTGAAGGCAGTAGGTTTTTGGTATTTTTATACATTATTGAGGCAGGATTAGTTTGGGGTATATTTTGAGTCACAGCCTTACAAGAGGACATGAGTCAAGTCAAATCCATACTTCTCAAGTCACACCCTTACTCTGACATGAGGGAAATTTCATCTCATGTATGACATACATATATATGTACAAACATACCTTACAAATAGCAAAGAAACACTGTTTGGTACATTACCGCGCACCTTTAGTAATAGTCCATTTAGGCTAAAAGGCTCTCAAAATAGGACTGGGAAAGAGCTGTAACATCTGAGTAAACCCAGCCTTACTCATATGGAAAAGAGAAAGCTTTCAAGACCTTCATTTGCTGATATGGCACC